AAAAAAAAAAAAAAAAACCGTCGAGTCAGATTCGACTCACAGCAACCCCTTCTTGGGTTTCCAAGGTAGTATCACTACAGAAGATCGCCCAATCATCCATCCAAGGAGTGGCTGGTGGGTTTGAACTGCCAGCCTTCTGGTTAGCAGCCAAATGCTTAGGCACTACACCACCAGAGCCTCTTGAAAAGAAAAAGATGTGGAAAGCGTTTTTTGAATATACAAATTAATGGCATTTGATCAGAGAGAGCATCAAAGATGACTCCAAATGAAAAGGCTGAAATAATTCTGACACCCACATTAAAGAAGACAGTTAGGGAGGAAATGTTGGTTTAGGTGAGGAAATAAATGGTATTTCTTTGCTTCTGGATTGGGCATGCTCACAAGGTCCTAAGTTTTCCACATAGATATTTTAAACAGTATGGAGCCCTTTAACATCTTAAATACATATTTGATTTCTACACAATTTAAGATGATAAATTATAACCTAATTACACACAGATTCTGTTGCATTTGAACAGTAGATACAGCACCAATCCAGGAATTACAATGGAAGGCATATGCAGGACATTTGCCATGGCTGAAGACATGCAGATGAGGTTCAAGGGCAGAATAGGAAAGCCCTTCCAAAAATTATCACAGATTTGGGCTGACTGGAGATGCCAAAGAGCCAGTACCTGAAACATCAATGGGGTGGTTGCAGAAGAAAAGTTCAGACTCTTGATCATGTGACTTTCAGGATCGTATTTGGACATAAATCCCTTGATGATCACAGTTTTGGCTGTTCCTTGCTCACCAATTAACAGCACAGCCTAAAATAGCGGAGTTGAGAAATACAATAAGATAATCCCCCCACCAAAAAAAAAAAAAAAAGATTTCTCTGAAAAAACAAATCAAAATTCACTTTCTCTCAACTAATACATGAAACATAATTACTTAATTATCATTGTAAATATTCAAATCTATTATTACTGAGGAACCAGAAAACAATGATATTAATTGGAGTAGTAACATTTATTCTACACAGCAACATGAAACATTCTAAAATAAATGCAGGCGGCTTTATAACTTCAAGTGGCATTTTAAAATACACTATTTTAAAGAAAACAGAGAGTTGTACCTTGCCCTGTTTGGCGATGGTTTTAATGAGAAAGTCAGTCCTCACGTTGTCGACATTTGGCACCAGGATGGAGCCATATTCCGGGGTTGTGTCAGACGGATACACGTACTCCTCAGTGCATGTGTTCCAGTGCATCCATTTACCTAGATGGACAGAGAACATCTGTATCTTCAGATTGCTGTCAATAATCTAAGGTCTATATGTAAGGAGCAGACATCCTTGATATTGTAACAAGGCACCTTCTAAACAGCCCTGGTAAAATCAGAGATCTAAGCATATAAATATGTGTTCACCAGGTCAAAACCTACCCAAGGAATTCCTTCAAAGGAAGGAAGGCACAATGGTGGTTCAGTGATGAAACACTTGCCTCCCATACAGGAGACCCAGGCTCCATTCCTGACCAATGCACCGAACACACAGCCACCACCTGTCCATCAGTAGAGGCTTGGGGGTTGCTATGACGCTGGACAGGTTTCAGTGACCCTTCCAGACTGAGATGGACTAGGAAGAAAGGTAAGGCCATCTATTTCTGAAATTTAGCAATGAAAACCTTATAAATCGTAAGAGTACACTGTCCATCTCGCTTGGTTTGGGCACGTCATCAGGAGGGATCAATTTCTGGAGAAAATCCTGTTTGGTGAAGCAGAGGGTCAACAAAAGAGAGGGAACGAAGAGGTAGACCCTCAGTCAGATGGGCACAACAGCCGAGATGATGGTCTCAAACATGTAAGAACAAATAACACTTCACTTTGCCCTTGTCGACCCCACAGCAGTTTTGTATCTACTTATGTGTAATAAACAACATCAAAAATGTACTACATTTACCCATGTATTTGGTAAGATACACTTCAACCTATAAATTTCATTAAAATTGTTGACTTTTGTGAAAAACAGAAATGATGAAAAGCACTAAAAACTAATAAAGAATGGCTGAAACGGATCTGAGTTGGAGTTTCGTTTTTCTTGATTTGTTTTATGTCACGAAAAGTTCAGTGCACAAAGGTATCTGGTGCTGTTGTAAGGTGCTGTTGAGTCAATTTTCAACTGATGACAACCCCATGTGACAGGGCAGAACAGGGCTGTAGAACAGAGATTTTACAGGAAGGAGCTCTAGTGGCATGGCACCCAAGGCATTTGACTGCTAACCAGACGGCAGTTTAAACCCATCAACTGCTCTGCAGAAGGAAGATGGGGCAATCTACTTCTGTAAAGAGTCAGCATTGACTCGATGGCAGTGAGTTTGGCTTTTGGTTTTCAGTTTTAATCTTTCCAGGAGGAGCTCGGCAGGTCTTCTCTTTGTGGAGGGGCTGAGTGGGTTCACACCACCAACTTTGCAGTTAGCAGCTGAGGGCTTAACCACTGTGCCACCAGGTCTCTTACAAAAACATTTAATGAATGGAAAATGTGCAATTGGAGCACAATCTAAATACATTTTTTAAAAAAGGAAAGAATCAATTAGCATTTTAGTTTTACAGCCAAGAGTTTTAATTATCCATTTAGAACAAAATGTTTTGTGTAAATATTAGCCATTTGGAAACAAACAAAAAAAAAGTCCCCAGCTGTTGAATACACATTTTACTGAATACATTTTACATGAATACACATTTTATTGTGCTTTATTGAGCTTTGCAGATACTGCATTTTGTAACTGCAGGTTGTGGCAACCCTGCATCAAGCAAGTCTGTGGGATTCATTTTTCTAACAGCATGTGTTCTTTCATGTCTCACTGTCACATTTTGGTCATTCTCACAACGTTTCAAACTTTTCATAACACTATTGCACATTTAATAGACTACCTTAACCATCAAGTCAATTCTGCCTTGTAGTGACCCTATAGGACAGAGGAGAACCGCCCCATAGGGTTTCCAAGACTGTAAATCTTTACAGAAGCTGATTGCCTCAAACTTTCTCCCATGGGGTGGCTGGAGGGTTCAAACCATCAACCTTTTGGTAAGCAACCAATATTTTAACCACTGTACCACCAGAGCTCTTTAATATACTACAGTATAGTGTAAACAGAGCATTTATACACACTGGGAGACCAGAAACTTCCTACATCTCACTTTATTGCAATATTTGCTTTTTGCAGCGGTCTGGAAGCGAACCTGCAATATCCCCAAGGTATGCCTGTACAAGCATGCATCTCACCATCTGATGTCACGTAATAGTCAAACATGGTGTCTTCTGCGCCTGCCAGTGTCGGCAGGTCCAAGGTCACCGAGTCCTGGGAGCGCAGCCAGTGCTCCACCCTGCGCCGGCCATCCAGTTCCAGCACGGCCCCAACGCTCCACATCAACGAGAAGACGTACAGCCGTTCCAGGTGCTCAGACGTGACCTCCCCACCCTGCTCCTGAGGACACCACAAATGTTCATGTTTCAGTTACCTGATTCTCAGATGAAAACTTTGCTTTGAGGTTTCAATGAAAACAGTCAGCATGTAAAGGAACAACAGTTTTCCCCAAGAGAACAAGGGAAGTAAACTAATAAAGTTGGAGAAGTGAGAGCTAGTCTTGAAACACGCCAAGCTGGTTTGGAAAATGCCACTGGCTGATCCTCACTCATGGTGGCCCATGCGTGTTGGAATAGAACCACGCTCACTGGGGTTTTCAAGGTCATGACCTTTTGGAAGCAGATTTCCAGGCCTTACCTCTGAGGTGCTTCTGGATGGGTTCAAACCACCACACTTTCAGCTAGTGCTTATCTGACTCCAAAAATAAGCTTAGATGACTGTCTGTCAGCCTGCAACTAAATTACATGGCTGACTATGGAAAACGTTGCTGTTGTGAGCTTCTACGGACTTGGTTCCAACTCGCAGGGACCCATGTGTGCAGACTAGGACTGCTCCGCAGGGTTGTCAAGGCTGTGACCCCTCAGAAGCAGAATGCCAGGCCTTCCTTCTGAGGCACCTCTGGTTTGAACTGCCAACCTTTGGGGCAGCCCAAGCTGTCCCCATTTGCACCACCCAGGGACCCTTTGTGAAAAGCAGAAATGATGAAAAGCACTAAAAATGAAAAAATACTGGGTCTATGTTTTAAACATCACCCCTTTCACACAGCTTTAACAAAACCAAATTTCAAGGACTGTATTCTCTGCACAGCAGGGCTCAGCTCGTGAGGGAGGTTTCTCTAAAGTCGACTGATTCACCTTCGGAGGGATCAGGCCTTGAAGCATATGAGTACTCTGCAGGATGACAAAGGCTTCGAGCATCTCCATCTTGTGTTCCAGGTTCTGAACACTGAAGCGATACAGGTCTGGAAAGGACTTGGTGTACAGCTGACGTAGAACCTCAGCTTCTTGAGGCGAGCGCTTTTTAAGAAAACCCTGTGAGTTCACAGAATAGTGGGTTAATTAACCTTAGAGGCACACCAGAAAAATGGCCATTTGGGGACAAAGAGTTGTTTTGTTTTGTTTTTTTCAATACCAATAATAAAAGTAACGGTGATAATTAATCGTTTACTGCACTTAGGATGAGCTCTAGTGGTGTAGAGCCTAAGGCATTTGACTGCTAACCAGAAGGTTGGTGGTTCAAACCCACCAGCCACTCCAAGAAAGGAAGAATGGGAAATCTACTTCCATAATGCTTTACTACCTCAGAAACCCAAAGGGGGTCACTATGAGCTGGAATCAACTCGATGGCAGTGAGTTTTTTGTTGTTGTTGCTGTTTTTCTGGCAAAATGTACCGGAGCTTGCTAAACAACAAGTCTATAACTATCCTCATCTTAAGTACAGATGAAGAAGCTGAGGCCAAGGAAGTTGAGGTAAGCTACTTAGGATCCCACAGCTGGTGGTTTAGCAGGAACAGATTCAAATCTAGAGTTTGGCTCCAGGGGCTAGGCATCCAGCTACCACACTAAACATACATTCAGCTCTTGAAGGCAAGGGGGAGAAATCGCTTCCAGCTCTTGATTAAAATAGGTTAGAAAAGTTCTGGTGGCTTAGTGTCTAAGGCATCTGACTGCTAACCAAAAGGCTGGCGGTTCAAACCCACCAGCCACTTCTCAGGAGGAAGACGGGCAATCTATTTCCGTAGTGATACTGCCTCAGAAACCCAAGGAGGGGTCGCTATGAGTCTGATCCGACTCAATAGCAGTGAGTTTTTGTGTTGTTTTTTTTTTTAAGAAGAAAATCAGGGGGCACATGTGTGAACATAATTTAGTAAAATAGTAAAGAAAAGAGAATAGCCAACAGAAATCCATATACAGATTTTTTTTAAAAATGGAAAACAAACATTTACCACAATCGTTTCCTTTCTGGCTTATTATAATTAATGGTTCAAACCCACCAGCCACTCCTCGGAAGGAAGGTTGGCCAATCTACATCCATAGTGATACCACCTGAGAAACCCAAGGAGGGGTCGCTATGAGTCAGGTCCAACTCAAAGGCACATAACAACAACAACAACATAATTAATGAACGAAGTAGAAAAATGTCAGAGAATATTCAGGAAAATAAAGCATTTAGTTAGACAAGGAACTCAGTATTAAGCAAGTGTGTGTCATTCATAACAAAATATTGCTTAACATACAGCAACATTTTACTAAGGTTTAAAATTCTCCTGGGGTTATGTCATGGATTGAATTTTGTGTCCCCCAAAATCTGTGTCAACTTGGCTAGGCCATGATTCTCAGTGGTTTAGAAGTTATGTAATGATGTAATGTAGCAGACATGTAATGATATCCTATGGTGTGATCTGATGTGATAAACAAATCAGGTTAAAAGGATTAAGATTAAGAGTGGGTTACAAAACCCTTAGTCACATCACAGCCCTGATCCAGTGTAAGGCAAGTTTCTCTGGTTCATCTTATAAAAGATAAGAGGGAAGGGAGCAGAGAAGGGAGACCTACTACAACCAAAAAGAAGAACCAGGAATCCAGCATGTCCCTTGGACCCCATGCCCCTATGCTGGGACCCTCCTAGGAACAAAAGACACAGAGAGAAATCCTTCCCCAAGAGCTGGCACTCTGAATTTGGACTTCCAGCCCCCTACGCTGTAAGAGAGTAAATGTCTGTTTGTTAAAGCCAAACAAACTTGTGGCATTTCTGTTACAGCAGCACTAGAGAAGTAAGACAGGGGATGAGATGGGCTCATTCTTCATCTAAATGTTCCAAAAAAACACTTAGCAACTCTGAAGCCAAGGACATGCCGTTCTAATAAGAGGAAAAACAGAAACAATGCAATGCTGGTTCTGAATTATTCATTAAATCATGACTTGACCATGATCCCACAGTGACAAAAAGAGCACACAGCACTTCAGAGTTAATGAAACCATGAAACTACATGCACTCGGCAGTTACCCAGCTCAGATTCTTCAAGCTGACAGATTCTCATCAACACAGCTTCTCAACTGGCCATCCCTCTAATAACTCTCAAAGAGCTACCTTACACTACTTTAATTATTTGCTGTCAGATTGTCTGTGAGTCTTTCTCCTTCCTAACCATTTACAAGAAGAAACTGCATCTTTTAAAAGCATATTAAAAAAAAAATAAAAAAACTTCCACCACTCATCTGTCGAGGTGGTGTACTGTACCGGCCTGCACATTGCTGTGATGCTGGTACCAGCAGGGTCACATAAGTGGGCAGAGTACAGTGGAGCTTCCAGGCTAAGACAGACTGGGGAGAAAGACGTGATGATTCACTTCTGAAAGAACTGGCCATTAAAAGCCTTACAGATGGCAGCAGAACACCGTTTGATATAGTGCAAGGATTTGAACCCCTGATGTTAGAAGGCACTCAAAACACTGGAGAAGAACTGCCTCCTCAAAGCTGAGTCGACCTTAATGACATGGATGGAGTAAAGCTTTGGGGACTTTTATTGGCTGATGTGGCAGAGCTTAAAATGAGAACAAACAGCTGCAAGCATCCAACAATAATTGCAACATGGAATGCACAAAGTATGAATCTAGGAAAACTGGAAATGGAAATCTTAAAATTTATATGCTAGGCACTAGTGAGCTGCAATGGACTGGTATTGCCCATTCTGAATGGGACAATAATATGGTCTACTATGCCAGGAATGACAAATTGAAGAAGGATGGCATCATGTTCATCATCAAAAAGAATATTTCCTGGTCTGTCCTAAAGTACAACATTGTCAGTGATAAGATAGTATCCATATGCCTACAAGGAAGACCAATCAAAACAACTATTATTCAAATTTACACACTAATCACTAAGGCCAAAGATAAAAGAACTGAAGATTTTTACCAATTTCTAAAGTGTGAAATTGATCAAATATGTAATCAAAATGCATTGAAAATTACTGGTGACTGGATTGAGAAATTCGCAAACAAAGAAGAATCAGTAGTTGGAAAATATAGCCTTAGTGATGGAAACAACAGTAAAGATCACAATAGAATTTTGCAAGACCAATGGTTATTCACTGGAACTACCTTTTTACAACAACATAAACAGTGACTACACATGTGACCTCACCGGGTAGAATAAACAGGAATCAAATTATAACAAACTATGAATAATATCACAGAGAATGGAAATTCCAAAACACAATTGTACTCATGTAGAACCTGTACATACACAAAGGGTCAGTCGTTTGAAGAGAACAAGGGAATACTGACTGGTTTATAATCAGGAAAGATGTAGGTTAGGGTTGTATCCTTTCCTCATACTTATCCAATCTGTATGCTGGGCAAATAATCCAAGAAACTGGACTATAGGAAGAATGCCACATCAGGATTGGAAGAAGACCAATTAACAGCCTGCAATATGCAGATGCCGCAACCGTGCTAACTGAAAGTGAAGAAGACTTGAAGCATTTACTGACAAAGATCAAAGACTACAGTCTTCAGTAAGGATTACACCTCACCATAAAGAAAACAAAAATCCTCACAACTGGACCAATAAGCAAACTTACGATAAACAGAAAGGTGAAGTTGTCAAAGATTTCATGTTATTTGGATCCACAGTAACACCACAGGAAGCAGCAATTAATAAGTCAAATGATGTATTGCACCAGGCAAATCTGCTGCAAAAGACCTCTTTGAAGTGTTAAAAAGCAATGATGTCACTTTGAGGGCTAAGGCGCACCTGACATGAGCTACATATGCATGCAAATGCTGGATAATGAATAAGGAAGGGTGAAGAAGAATCGATGTATTTGAATTATTGTGTTGGTGAATACGGACTATACCATGGACTGCCAGAAAAAACAAATCTGTCTTGGAAGAAGCACAAGCAGAATGTTCCTTAGAAGTGAGGATAGGGAGACTTAGTCTTGCTTACTTTGGATATGTTACCAGGAAGGACCAATCCTGGGAGAAGGACATCATATTTGGTTATGTGGAAGGTCAACGAAAAAGTGAAAGACCCTCAATGAGATGGATTGACACAGCAGTTGCATCAATGGGCTCAAAAACAGCAAAGATTGTGAGGATGGTATGGGGCTGGACAGTGCTTTGTTCTGTTGTGGATGAGGTCACTATGAGTCAGAGGCAACTCAACAGCACTTAGCCACAACAACAACAAAGAACGTTACTAAGTGTAGAACCAACGTAAAGATTGTATTCAGCCTCAACATGAACAGACCATATGGAAGTATATCTCTCAACTAGCAAACTCTACATAATCATTGCTGTTGTTCATTGCTACTGAGTCCATCCAACCCATGACATATTCACTAGCTGTGAATAAAATTGTTTTTCAAAAAAACTTTGTGTATTTGCAGGGTTTTGAGAAAAAAAAAGTCACTTAATACATTTCATTTGAAGATCACTGGTTACCAAGGCTGGATGTATGAAACATCTGCTATAAAGCTTTTTAAAAACCAAATGGTCCTGCGTGCCCTTCCAAGAGACCCTAACTTGGTAGAATTCGGTGTGATACAATCATCTATATTTTATGCATAATTTTCCTTCCAAAGGCAAGATTGAGACCCCTTGTTCTGTATTCTCATTTATCTATTATTTATTGTAAAATCTAAAATCTTTAAAAATATTTTAACTGATACATTCAATTATACATCAGTGTCATTTTTTGATATAATCCATTCTTTCTTCACGTCTTCATTGCCAAATAGGAACCATTTTGCAACATTTTGTGTAAATCCTAGAAAAACATTATCAGAAGTTAAGTTATACCCATATAGAAAGAGAAGTATAAATATTTAAGGTTATTTATTTTATTTAAACACCTAACTAGCTATTTTATTTAAATTATAAATTTTTTAATTTGTAAAATAAAAATCATCTAAAATCTTAATAATAAAAATAATAAATTTGCTCAACTATGTCAAAAAAGACTTTTCAAATGTCTTAACTAATAAGCAGTTCATTTTATATTACAGTATTTACTTAGTAAAATCTGAATAGGCAATTCATTTATAGCTCTGATAGCATAGTGCCTAAGGCATTTGACTGCTAACCAGAAGGCTGAGAGTTCAAACCCACTAGCCAATCCTCAGAAGGAAGATGAGGTAACCTCCTTTCCTAATGATACTGCCTCAGAACCCCAAGCAGGGGTCGCTATGAGTCAGATCCAACTCGATAGCAGTGAGTTGGTTTAATTACTATCAAGATACAGTGGTGTAGTGCCTAAGGTACTTGACTACTGATCAGAAAGCTGACAGTTCAAACCCACCAGCCACTCCTCAGAAGGAAGATTGGGCAATCTATTTCTGTAGTGATACCACCTCAGAAACCCAAGGAGGGTCTCTATGAGTCAGATCCTACTCGACAGCAGTGTTGGATTAGTGGTTGGTAGTAAAATAATCCATCATTAATTGAAGCAATATTATCTAAAATATTATTTCCAAGTATAAACTTAAAACTAATATTATGATTATTGTGCTTAAAAAAAAATCCTTATATGCCTTTTTTTTTAAATTGTTTTCAAGTTAATTTTCTAAAATGGTTGTTCCCAAACTTGGATGAATGAGTAGCTCTTAAAAATGTCATAAATCCTCAATGTGAAAAAATTAAATTTTAAGTATTCAGTCCTTAGACAGTTCTTCAAGAGATTACTGATTCAGCTCCTTGTTGCAATTACTCTACAACCCACAGGTTAGAAATCACAGTTCTAGAATAGCAGGAGCACTGAAGAAACCAGTAAGGGGTGATCTGGGCTTGAATGGCCCAGGGCCTTCAAGGATCATCACTAAACATTAGCATCAAAATTGAACTGCACAGCTGGTCTACAAAAAAAAAAAGTTAAAAGGTTTCTTTTTCTTTTAATCATACATAAGAAAAACTCCAGTCCTACCTCAAGAATAGGACTCCAGCTGAGGACAGAAGAGCTCATGAAAACCATTCCATTTCTTGAGACTGTGGCAGGAGAGGCATTGTCGATGTTATGAGGTTCAAAAACAATCTTGCAGTTTGGAGCCATGGGGATCCGATCACCATTGGCAAGAGTCAGAGTTTTGTTATCATCCAAAACAGAATTCAGATTTTCAATCCAGATGGCATCTACTGGACCGTCAAGAACTATCCAGATATGTTCCCCTAGAACACCCCACCAAAGAAAAAGCATATATATTTTTATATACATCTATGATATAGTTTACATATATAGGTGTGTGTGTGGATATATGTGTATACATATATCCACACACACACACATATATATAGATATATATATATATATATATATATATATATACACTTCCTGACAAAACACTATTTAATTTTATTACATTATAAATTTTCATATATGTCATTTTTATTATTTTATTATATTATTACATTATTTTTCAAATAAAGCTTTGATCTGAATGGTTACCTTATTTTACCACATAGGACTTTTCAAGTTCTCTACATACCAGTTATTTAAGGCCTATAATCAAATCAGAAAGTCATTTGTTCACAGAACAAACAATATTTATTGAACACCTTCTATGATATTGTAATAAACAAGATGATGACCCTACCCTCATAGAGCATATGTTCTATGGGGCAGAGAAGGTATTCAAATAAATAAGCAAAGAAGTATACATTTGGAACATGAATACATTCAGAAGACAAGTGGAACTAGAGAGGCAAAGCCACGCAATGGATTCCTGTTTGCACATGTTAAGTTTGCAGCATCTAACATACGTCTAAGTGGAGTTGCTGAATTGGAAGCTCAAGGGAGAGGTCGGGACTGGAGATAACAATCTGGAAGCCATCGGCTCAGAGACCGTATTAAAAAACAAGGGGCTGCATCCGTCTCCTCTGAAGAATGAGCAGACATAGAGATAGGCTGTCTGAGGACTCAGGCACTTCCACACAGGCTTCCTGTAGAGGGGTGGGGGGGACATCCCTTCAAGGCCTCCTCCCTCTGCCAGACTTCTCAACAAAGCAAGTAAACAAAAGAGCCAGCAGAACGCGGGATCCTCAAAGTCAAGCGAAGAGCTTCAAGGGGGCAGTTACGACGCTGCCAGAGGCTGCTAAGAGCGGACTAGACTGAGATCTGCCACTTGACTCGGACAAGATGGTGGTCACAGGGTGCTTGGAGGAGTGGTTTCAGAGGCCACCTGGGGACAAAAGCTGAATCTAGCCAATATGGAGAGATTTGGAGAGAAAATGGCCAAGAAATCAGAAGGATGCTCCACAGGAATGCCATAGTAAATTTGGCTTAATAGTCTCTTTACCAGTTTCTCTTGCCAACTCCCTGACCAAGACTGTGGTTCTAATATTTCTTTATTATGGAACAAGTGAAGGTACTCTGATAGTATAGTGGTGAAGGCATTTGGCTGCTAACCAAAACAGTGGTTTGAAACCACCAGCTGCTCCCTGGAAGAAAGATTAAGGCAGTGTGCTTCTGGAAATATTTATAGCCTTGGAAACCCAATGGGGGTCTCTGTGAGTTGGAAGTGACTCTATGATAATGAATTTGGTTTTTATGTAACAATTGTGGGATAGTCTATAGGTAGTCGCTGACTTGCCATGTATTCAACCTACATGGAACCGTACTTACTACCATGTCCTCTGGGTTTTTTAAAATTATTATTGTTTTGTTCTGATTGTGTATCTTATCCTTAGTAACATATATGATGTACAATGTTCTAGCACGTACTCTGAAAAATGAAAACACTATGGTAAGTTGGGGCTATCTATGTTTCAAACAAAAAACTCTGAAAATCCAAATCAACACACTGAAGTAAAATGGTGATCTAACACCAGAGTCACATTTTGAAACTAAAAGCTCCTATTGCTTCTTTTGCTGGGGAAAAAAATATATACATTTATATATATAGGCTCCTTTTCAGTTACTGAGCCTGTATTTATACAGGTTCATTGGAACAAATTAGAAACAAAACTTGATTTCCTTCCAGTAAAACAACAAACACAGTAAAAAATGTTGAATATCAGCACACTTTAAAAATGAAGTATGTCCATTTCTCTTTGAGCATATGATGTTAGAATGATCAGCCATATTCCTTAAGTGAAAATGTCAATGACGACTCCTTAAACCAAACCAAAACAAAAGCAAACTCACTGCTGTCAAGTCAGTCCTGACTCATAGCAACCCTTCCTTGGGTTTCCGAGGTGGTATCAGTATGGAAGGAGATTGCCCAACCTTCCTTCTGAGGAGTGGCTGGTGGGTTTGAACCGCCAGCCTTCTGGTTAACAATCAAATGCCTTAGGCACTACCTTCCTTAAACATTTGCCAATAAAACACTATTGCTAAAAAGACTGGTCCAGGAAGGAGCCCAAATAGTTTGTTCTTCTCCTGTGTTCTTCCTTCTCCATGCATTTGCATTCACTGTCCTTTCAGTTGCTCATTCAGTAAGAGAACAACACAAAGACGGGTTGGTGAAAACACCACCTCCATCTGAGCCTGTATTCTGGGAACAACTAGTTAAATTTTCAGAGTCCATCCTGAAAGAATATTCACAGACTGAAGGGCTGGCCCTTAGCAAACTTGTTCAAAGAACCACCAAACACCAGTGTACATCTAACAAAGTGGATTTTAGTTCAATAAATACTTCATTTTTTATATAAACAATCTCCCCCACCCCAAAGAAGCACAATTTCTCTTGTGATTTTCTAGAGCTGTTAGTTTTATTTTAATAAATAAATAAATAAATAAATATGGCTTTACATAATAAGAGTAGCATTTTTTAAATATTCAATGAAAATAGGGTAGATTCACTTTACTCAAACTATCAATTCTCCTTAACATCTTTTTCTAACATTTGTGCTAAGATCAGGGATATAGGAAGATTGTTCAAAAAGAAAAGAATTCCCTTCGTAACCCAAAAAAGGAAGTAGAGATTTTAAATACACTAAAAAAAATTTCAATATTTCTACATTCACAAATATTGTACTGATTTTTGACTTCTTAGTTTTGGCTATGATATATGGAAGACGGAGATGTTCTACCAACTTTATAAGCCACTAAGTATTTTGTTTGGAAGTACATGTCAAAAATAATTCTTGCAATTCATCTACTACCTTTCTTAGCTCTCAATGTTTTCCTCCAAAGTGTAGAAAATATTCCATCTGTCCAGTCATTTGTGGCCACATCAAGCCGACCAAACATCTGTGGAGCTGTAATCGCTTTGGGATTCATCCTCATTTCCCGGTGTGGTTTTCCACAATCTATAGCAAATAAATCCAAACTTTAAACATCGAACACATGGAGGGAACCATCATTAGGCAACATTGTCGAATTTGTGGTGTACTATCAGCAGGTGTTCAAAATATGAAAAATGCAAAATTACATTGAAAATATGTCTTCTGCATTTCAGTTATCATAATTAACTTTATTAGACTTTACTGACGAAAGCACTTCTTTCTTATCTTCATTGGAAGAAAATTGTATATTGCAAAGGGGAGAAAAGGGACATCATGTTAGAATTCCTGAACAAACTAATGTAATCTGGGAGTTCTTTATATGTTATAGCTCAAAAATTTGGGGGTTTATAGTATACTTGATTCAATCTTGTGCCTGAAATAGAAGATACTACATTTGAAATGTTAAGGAACAAAGATGTCACTTTCAAGAATAGGTGTAACTAACCCAAGTCAGTGATAGGAAAACATCCATATGCCTACAAGGAAGACCAGTTAATACTACTATTACTCAAATTTACATACCAACCACCAAAGCCAAAGATGAGAAAATTGAAGATTTTTACCAACTTCTGCAATATGAAATTCACCAAACATGCAATAAAGATGTATTGATTATTACTGATGACTAAAATGCAAAAGATGAAAACAGAAGAATCACCAGTAGTTGGAAATATGGCCCTGGGGATAGAAATGACACTCGCAATCTCATGATAGCATTTTGCAAGGCCAATGACTTATTCTTTGCAGATACCTTTTTTCAACAACATAAATGGAGTTATACACGTGAACCTAGCCAGATGGAATACACAGGAATCAGATCGACTACACCTATGGAAAGAGGTGATGGAGAAGCTCAACATCTTTAGCCAAAACAAGGCAAAGAGCTGACTGTGGAACAGACTACCAATTGCTCATATGGAAGTTCAAGTTGAAGCTGAAGACAACTAAAACAAGTCCACGAGAGCCAAAATATGACCTTGATTATATCCCTCCTGAATTTAGAAACCATCTAAAGAATAGATTTGAGGGAGGTTCCGGCAAGATGGCAGACTAGGCAGAAGGATTGCACAGACCCTCTTCAACAAAGAAAAGGGAAACCAATTAACACAGACACAGAAGATAATCTTGGACTCCTGAGCCTTGAAGGG